TAGCATCCAGTTTTAGCACTCCAGTGAAGCACAAGCCTAAAAAAAAGAAAGTAAATAACAATATATAAATAAATAAATAAGCAAATGCAAAAAACTAGAACTTATCTTTAGTATAAGTTCTAGTATTTCCAGGCTCCAATGACATTGACATATTATTTACTACCATGTAAAGAACATTTCACAACCATGAAAAATTTAACAAATCTTTGAAAATTGGTTAAGGTTGCAGAACTAATCTGACTATTATAAAAGCTTACTTGAAATAATAACAAAAAAAAAATGAAAAAAATAGAAAAAAATATTTATACCTAATACGATATGATTGTTAATCTGAAAAATAATTGGCACCTCAGGTCCGATAGCATAGCGGTTATGCTCCGAGGTCAAATCGGAAGGTCACCGGTTCGAATCCTATTGGTAGCGAACAACAATTTTCTATGAAGAGGCTTAGCAGGCATAATAGAAGTATTATGAAGCAGGCTGTTGAGGCTTAGACCTGGTGTTCAAATACCTTGGGGTTTGAACTTGTTAGTTTGAAACTACAATTTGTTTAACCGAAGTCACGAGACGTAGTGAAGATCAAGTTACAAACTCCTGGCGGGTTTTACTGAGAGACTAGGCCGTTGAGAGGCGTAGTGGATCGGTTAGTCTGGGGTTAAAACCTAGAAAATTAAGACTATAAAGGACTGCCGTCCTACTATAGCCAACTTCAGGCCACAGATAAAGTAGTCTGAGTTGGTGTCTTCATATGTAATTTGACGAATCTTTTAGTATAAAATGTACTTTAAAAATTTCAAATAATTAATAAAATTGATAAGCCGAATGGTCTCGGTTGTTAAAACCTAAAAAAAAAAAAAAAAAAACAAATGAAAACAAAAAAAACAAACAAAAACAAAAAAAACAAACAAAAACAAAAAATGAAAAACAAAAAAGTAAAAAAAAAACAAAATAGAAGATCTAATTATAAACAAAAGATCTAATCTGATCTTGTAGTACAGAATTTGAACTTCATAAACTATTTCGAAAAATTAGTCCAATGCACGATCCAGGTTACAGATCTATTGATCCAGCTTGTTTTCTGGTCCTAAAATATTTCGAAAGGGTTTGAATATTTATGTAAGAAATTTAGTGTAAATTTATGATTTCTTACAGTTTATAAAAAAATTGTAAAAAATTTAGCATAAACTTTCGCAAGTTTTTACAATATATAAGAAAATCGTAAACTTATATAAAAGGTTTACTGTATTTTCCCAAAAATAAGCTACCTTTTTTGGGCAAAAAGTTACACTAAAAATCGGGGGTAGCTTATTTTCGGGTAAAATCGATTTTTGACTGATCGCAGAAAGTTGCTATATAGTAAAGTCTAAATTTTACTATATAAATCGATCAAAATCGATTAAGTAAACTTATTGAGCAGGTCAAAATACACTTACTCTGAAATTTCCATTAAGATTGGAGAACTTCTTATTATTTAACTTTTAATTTTTACGTTCGACGAATATATTTTTTTAAAAAATTTTAATTTTTTTGCCAAACGTAAAAATCAAAAGTCAATTAATAAAAAGTTCTCCAATCTTAATGAAAATTTCAGAGTAAGTGTATTTTGACTGCTGAATAAGTTTACTTAATCGATTTTTATCGATTTGCTTAGTAAAATTTAGACTTTACTATGTAGCGACTTTTGTCAATCATGGGGTAGCTTATTTTCGGGTTAAAGAGGTTTTGGAGTTTTTTGACCAAAAGAGGGTTAGCTTATTTTTGAAGGTAGCTTATTTTCAGGAAAATACGGTAGTGTAAAACTATACAAGTTTTACAGTGCATAAGAAAATCGTAAATTTACATAAAATTTTTACGTAAATTTACGATTTTTTTATACTCGTAAGACTTACGTAGTATTACACTAAATTTTACGTAAGTTTACGATTTTTTTATATACCGTAAAAACTTGTACAAGTTTACACATATATATTTTTGCTGATGGTGTAACTATTAAGGTGGAAGAGCGTATACATTTTACCAATTTAACTCTAATAGTTAGGCTGCTCCAATTTGAATCTATATTGAACATAACTCTCTCTCTAGATTGAGCAAATTATGAAGAGAGTTAAACAATATATATGTATATATATAACCTTTAGATTCAAATTTCACTTTTTATATTACTAAAATGAACTCATACAGAAAGATCGCTAACATTAGAGTAGCTGCATGATACAGTCATGCTAAACCTAGGAACATTATATAAGTTAGAATTAATTAGTAAAATTTTATGATTCATAAGATTTTATAGAATTTATTAATAAAATTTTATAAAATCTTATTATGCACAAATTTTTTTAATTAATTCTAACTTTATGCACTAAGTAAACATGTACAGCACCTAAAAATACATCAAATCGGCAGGATTAGTTTTATTTTACTTGAAATTTGGATAATAGATGCATAATTTTGGATTTTTGATTAAAAAAGTCAAATTTAAGCATCTTTTTTCCAAATTTTAAGTAAAATAAAAACAAGACTGCTGATTTAATATATTCTTAGGCTCTGAACAAGTTTACTTAGTGAATTAAGTTAGAATTAATTAGTAAAATTTTATGAATCATAAGATTTTATAGAATTTTATTAATAAAATTTTATAAAATCTTATAATACACAAATTTTTATTAATTAATTCTAACTTTATGTACTAAGTAAACATATTCAGCACCTAAAAATGCATCAAATCGGCAGAGTTATTTTTATTTTACTTAAAATTTGGAGAATAGATGCAGAATTTTGGATTTTTGATAAAAAAAAGTCAAATTTAAGCATCTTTTCTCCAAATTTCAAGTAAAATAAAAACAATTTTGCTGATTTAATGTATTTTTAGGTTCTAAATAAGTTTATTTAATGCATGTAGTTAGAATTAATTAGTAAAATTTTATGAATCATAGGATTTTATAGAATTTTATTAATAAAATTTTATAAAATCTTATAATTCACAAATTTTTATTAATTAATTCTAACTTTATGCACTAAGTAAACATGTTCAGCATTTAAAAATACATCAAATCGGCATAATTGTTTTTATTTTACTTGAAATTTAGATATTAAATGCATAATTTTGGATTTTTGATCAAAAAAGTCAAATTTAAGCATCTTTTCTTCAAATTTCAAGTAAAATAAAAACAATTCTGCCGATTTAATGTATTTTTAGGTTCTGAACAAGTTTACTTAGTGCATTAAGTTAGAATTAATTAGTAAAATTTTGTGAATCATAAGATTATATAGAATTTTATTAATAAAATTCTATAAAATCTTATGATTTACAATATTTTACTAATTAATGCTAACTTATAGCACTAGGTAAACTTGTTCAGAGCCTAAAAGTATATTAAATTGGCAGTCTTGTTTTTATTTTACTTAAATTTGAAAAAATGATGCTTAAATTTGACTTTTTTGATCAAAAATTCAAAAGTATGTATCTATTCTCCAAATCTTAAGTAAAATAAAAATAACTTTGCCGATTTGATGTATTTTTAGGTGCTGTACATATTACTTAGTGCATAAAGTTAGAATTAATTAATAAAAATTTGTGTATAATAAGATTTTATAAAATTTTATTAATAAAATTCTATAAAATCTTATGATTCATAAAATTTTACTAATTAATTCTAACTTATTTCACTAGGTAAACTTGTTCAGAACCTAAAAATACATTAAATCAGCCAAATTGGTTTATTTTACTTGAAATTTGGAAAAAAAAATGCTTAAATTTGACTTTTTTGATCAAAAATTCAAAATTATGCATTTATTCTCCAAATTTTAAGTAAAATAAAAATAACTCTGCTGGTTTGATGTATTTTTAGATGCTGAATATGTTTATTTTTACTTAGTGCATAAAGTTAGAATTAATTAATAAAAATTTGTGTATTATAAGATTTTATAATAAAATTTTATAAAATCTTATAATTCATAAAATTTTACTAATTAATTCTAACTTCATGTACTAAGTAAATTTGTCAGTACCAAAAAATAAATAATTTAGAGTCTGAGTCTCTGAACTTGACCTGAACCAGACCTATTCAGATCCTGGCCAGACGCGAACTAGACCTAATCATCTGTTGTTTAAGTCCCTCTCTAAAAAATTTTGAACTTGTTATGTTAAACAAAGAATTAAATTAGAGTGACCTTACTAGAAAAAAGTTTCTGATTTACTCAAATAAAGGTCTCTTTAGCACTATACTAGCTTACTTTCTTTATTTTTCTTCTACTTGTATTGTATTGTATTAGTATTGGATTCTATTGTATTGGATCATAGTCGATTTCTTTATTGAAGTTAAATTCATTCGTTTATATATGTTTAAAATGCTAATATTTTGTTTGGCGTGTTAACGTGTTGTTTAACACGCTACGTGATGGTACAACACTGGTACAACTAAGTCTAGCATGTTGTCGTGCTATTGAGAAAGTTTATAATCCACAGCCCTTAACATGCATATGTGCTAACACTTTAATGTGTTATGAAGATTTTACAAAAAGAGTAATTATATGTCAATTATCAAGTTTACACAAATTTTGACTAATATTTAATGAATTATACAAAAATAGAAATGAAATTATTTATGCTAAATAAAGAGAAGTTCTATCTACGGAGGGGGTAAACTACTTGGGAAGTTTGAATCTTCTAATGTCACAATTTTGATTGTAACACCAGTATTGCCATTAAAATTCTACCCTCATCTCAAAAATGTTTATAATTTGGTTTAATTAACACGATCATTTGCATAGAATTCAATTTTTATGAAAAAATATTAGAAACATATAGAATATTGAATTTTTGTAAATTCAGATGCATAATATTTTTGCAGAAATTTCTTCTAAATTTGACTGCTTTTTGAGAGGATTTTATTTAAATAAAACTTCAAATAAAAAATCAATTTATTGAACAAAAAATTTTTCTTGAGCGATTTTACTATATAATGATCTTAATCCAAATCCTAACTGAGCATTTACCCTAACCCTAACCCTAACCTAATATTTGCTTTTTAACTCATAATTTATAAATGAATAATTGCCATAACTTGAATCATGAAATAATATGTTCTGAATTCCCAAGAGCAATTTATAAATGAATAATTACCATGACTTGAATTATGAAATAATATGTCCCAAATTTCTAAGAGATACGTACACAATTCCAAAGATGCTCAAGGACATTAATAAATCTAGAAAAAAAACAAAAGCATTAACAAAATAGAAAACAAAAACAATGAATAAACGACAAAATAATATATCCTGAATTTCCAAGTAATATGCCACAATTTCAAAGAAGCACAATAACATGCTAATATACCTATAAAAAAAAGAAATGTTAGTAATGCGTTTACAAACTAGAAAACAAGAACAACAAATGAACGAAATAATACGCTCCAAATTCTCAA